TATGATGTTGCTGTCTGGGTGTAGGATGTTGCTGTCTGGATGTATGATGTTGCTGTCTGGATGTAGGATGTTGCTGTCTGGATGTATGATGTTGCTGTCTGGGTGTAGGATGTTGCTGTCTGGGTGTAAGATGTTGCTGTCTGGGTGTATAATGTTGTTGTTGGGGTGTAGGATGTTGCTGTCTCTGTGTAGGATGTTGCTGTCTGGGTGTAGGATGTTGCTGTCTGGGTGTAAGATGTTGCTGTCTCTGTGTAGGATGTTGCTGTTTGGGTGTAGATTTTTGCTGTCTGGGTGTAGGATGTTGCTGTCTGGGTGTAGATTTTTGCTGTCTGGGTGTAGGATGTTGCTGTCTGGATGTAGGATGTTGCTGTCTGGATGTATGATGTTGCTGTCTGGGTGTAGGATGTTGCTGTCTGTGTGTAGGATGTTGTTGTCTAGGTGTAGGATGTTGCTGTCTGGATGTAGGATGTTGCTGTCTGGATGTAGGATGTTGCTGTCTGGATGTATGATGTTGCTGTCTGGGTGTAGGATGTTGCTGTCTGTGTGTAGGATGTTGTTGTCTGCATGTAGGATGTTGCTGTCTGGATGTAGGATGTTGCTGTCTGGGTGTAGGATGTTGCTGTCTGGATGTAGGATGTTGCTGTCTGGGTGTAGGATGTTGCTAATGTAAAGAATTCTATACTCACTCGAAACACCGACTAGAGGTCGTGCGATACTCACCCTTAACTAGTTGAGTGTTGCAAATGAATAAATCAGTATACGTCAGCTACTAAACTTTTACAACAGCCGTTGTATACGGGTTGTGTGGTTCTAATGTCTATAGTTGAAATATTTTAATCTGCATACCTAGTTCTCGTGCTTCAAACGCAAATAACTCTCGAGTTACCGTCTCAACTGAAATCTCAAGTTATCAAGAGATTCAAATTGCTTTAAAACATGCCCATCTAAACATTAAAGACGTGCATAATGCCTTGATGAGGTGTTGGCATATTTCACTGATCAAGGTGGTACAAGCTTGTACCTGCTCCTTCCCCACACAATAATTACAGACAGGTCAAGATGACCTATCGACTTCAGGAGGTCAGGGTGAATTAGTGAACTTGATCAATTCAGTGGTGTTTGAATTAGTGACTTTAAAACTTGATCAATTCAATGGTGTTTGAATTAGTGACTTTAGAACTTGATCAATTCAGTGGTGTTTGAAATGTTGACTTTAGGACTTGGTCAATTCAATGGTGTTTGAATTAGTGACTTTAGAACTTGATCAATTCAATGGTGTTTGAATTAGTGACTTTAGAACTTGATCAATTCAATGGTGTTTGAATTAGTGACTTTAGAACTGAATCAATTCAATGGTGTTTAAATTAGTGACTTTAGAACTTGATCAATTCAATGGTGTTTGAATTAGTGACTTTAGGACTTGATCAATTCAGTGCTGTTTGAATTATTGATTTTAGAACTTGATCAATTCTAGTGTTTGAGTTATGGACGCCGGGACTTGATCAATTCAATGGTGTTTGAAATGTTGACATTAGGACTTGATCAATTCAATGGTGTTTTAATTAGTGACTTTAGAACTTGATCAATTTATTGGTGTTTGAATTAGTGACTTTAGAACTGAGTCAATTCAATGGAGTTTGAAATGTTGACTTTAGGACTTGATCAATTCAATGCTGTTTGCATTATTGACTTTAGAACTTGATCAATTCAATGGAGTTTGAAATGTTGACTTTAGGACTTGATCAATTCAATGCTGTTTGCATTATTGACTTTAGAACTTGATCAATTTAATGGTTTTTGAACTAAAGACTTTAGGACTTGATCAATTTAATGGTGTTTGAATTAGAGACTTTAGGACTTAATCAATTTAATGGTGTTTGCATTGGTGACTTTAGGACTTGATCAATTCAATGGTGTTTGAATTAGAGACGTACACGTGTACTTAACTTCCACTAACAAGCTGGTAGCTGAGATAAAGAGATATTTTAGCATGCCTCAGTTCCAGACATGGTACAATTTATTCTGTACTGCTGTAAATACAACATAGCTAATGACACAAGATTATAGCTTTATTCTGTACTGCTCTAACTACAACATAACTAATGACACACTTTTATAGCTTTATTCTGTACTGCTGTAAATACAACATAACTAATGACACAAGTTTATAGCTTTATTCTGTACTGCTGTAAATACAACATAACTAATGACACAAGATTACAGCTTTATTCTGTACTGCTCTAACTACAACATAACTAATGACACACGTTTATAGCTTTATTCTGTACTGCTGTAAATACAACATAACTAATGACACAGTTTATAGCTTTATTCTGTACTGCTGTAACTATAACATAACTAATGACACAAGTTTACAGCCAGTAAAAATTTATGTTGCCTATAGAGAGAAGCATTTATTGCGCACGACTGCTAACCTGAATGTCTTGAGTTCGGGTCACAGACTCCAGTGGGTAGAAAGTCCTGAGTCCACTCAGTTGTGGTAACTTACCAAACTATGAAACTGACAACAACTGTCAAAACGATTGACAGCTACAATATTCCAGATAATCTATAACCTCCAATCAATATTTCAGATAATCTATAACCCCCAATCGATATTCCAGATAATCTATAACTTCAAATAAATAGTTCAGATAATCTGTAACATCCAGTGAATATTTCAGATAATGTTTAACCTCCAATAGTCGTTATAATTGTCCCCCTTACACTGTTAAAAATGTGTTAACCATTCCCTGGTTTGCATCATAAACAATATATTGTGTGTAGTTTAGGTCTGTTTCCGGTAAAACATTTAAATGACATTCACACACCTCTGTATATACACCCAAATGACATATCAGTTTAACTGTACAAGTACAATTTTGTCTTTTAATTGAATGGTTACAATGGTTATACGTGACAGCATATTATCTGCTGACGTACTTGATCTGCTTACATATTTTATCTGCTTGTTTAAACTAATAGATGATAAATTGTTTTAAAAAGCATTTATAAATCATTCAATAGACAAAATCCCTAGTACACATTGTCGAGATGTACACATTAAAAAGTTAACAAATAACGTTAACACATGTGTTCTGGTTAGGTTTAGTTGTGTTACTGTGTCTACACATCAGTGATCAGCCACTAACGTTAACACATGTGTTCTGGTTAGGTTTAGTTGTGTTACTGTGTCTACACATCAGCCACTAACGTTAACATATGTGTTCTGGTGATGGTTAGGTTTACTGTTGTTATTTACACCGCCGTGCATGACTTTTGTTGGTCTGGTGCCCGATGTTTGCCTGTGAAAGATGAGGTGGAAAAATTAGCAAAGTGAAAATTATTTAAAAAAAGAAATTTATGGAAAGATGTGAGTGCACACTTACAGAGGAAGCGACGGTTGGAAGGACCGACGTGTCCTGCCGGATGTCCTGCCGGATGTCCTACAGTGCCATTTTTTAAAAATAACTATAAAGAAAAGCGCGAGTCTCTTCCTAAATATTAGTAAAGGTATCCAATAGACACTTAAGTGAACCACGCTAATTTATTTTCTACTTTTTAGTGCATTATCACACAAAAGTTTGTTATGAAAACGTTTTTTATGACATTTTTAAATGATTGAACGTCCTGATTGATTCAGCTGCTGCCGCGTGTTTTGATGAGATATATTTTCTGATCCTCTGTTCATCCCCCAACCTAGAGGACAAGGATATTCGAGCCTGGGACTTATGGGATTAGTAAACATGCGCTTAACTACCCGACCAAGTATATGTTTATTTATGCGTACAAGTATGTATGTATATGTGGGCAGCCTATTGATTTATTATTTACATTAATATGTTGTTTGAAACATTTTTCTGTGAAGTATGCACTAAGCTACCCTTATATGTATTAGCAGTAAGACAGGGATTCTCTCCTGGATTAATTACAGTAATTAAAATAGAGGCCTAATCTTAAAAGCCGTAGTAATGTGAGTACATGAGACATGTAACAAGACCGCAGGAGTTGATACAATAGTTTTCAACCAACCAGATGTAAATACACTGCTAAAGAAATTCTAGTGTAACAGAATTTCGCTGAGATGGATAATCCCATCGGACACTTAAAAATTGGAGGATTCTAGCGAATAACAAGCAACAGCCCACAAATGTTACCGTTTATTTAGGATCAAGTTACAGAAATTAATAAATCTGATTTTAAAATTAGGGAACAGTGGCGTTAATATGGATTTTGAAATCCGTATGTTAAATTGACATCGATATAGGCCTACTCGCCTATAAAACTAACACCAAACATGTAATTAGTATGCTAAATGCATGTTTAAACTATGTGCTCAGGTTTAATTTTTAAACACAACAGCTGAGCTTATCATTAAATCATGGTGTGGTTAATTTTAAACATCGTACCACTGTACTAAGCGACTAATAAAGAAAACAGATAGGCCCCTAGTTCCGATGAGAGTCAATTTATGTATGTTTTAGGCTTATATTTGATCATTGCGTAATACACAAACATAATATGTTTTTGAATAATATGTTTTTGAAATATATATTTGTTGCCTGTACGACCATTTGTAGTATAAGTGGCGTCACTATTTGGGCCATACGTACAGCAAACCACACAATCCCTTCAAATATTGAGATCTTACAAACAGATGAATGCTGGTCATTAATAATTGTATTGTTTCGTTTAAAATAATTACATTATTTTTTTAAGTGGCGGGTAGGAAGATAGTTCGACAACAAATTACCGCACATACGCACTCACACACACGCAGACAGTGCGCGCACACACACACACACTCAGGTATACACACATATACACAACCATACACATACAGACACTCACGCACGCGCACACACACATGAATGCACACACACACACACACCAGCCCAATGATGCACCGTCACTATGAGCGTCTGCAGCTCCATGTACAAGCAACATCAGGAGAAAAAAAACAAACTACCCAGTTGTTATGACGTATGTCCTAATTACCGGTCGATGTGAGTACTTAAATAGATGTCAAGATAGAGCACACAAGCAGTCGCTAGTTGGTGAGTGAGCAGCAGACTACTAAACACAGGAGTCCCGCGGTACACTGACACCAGCGCTATAGACTACCGGGTAAGTCATTTATCTTATAAATACCTGCTTCATTAGACCGTCATTATTGTACCTGACAGCTCAATTAGCTCACGTCTTTATCAAACGTCACGCTTTTGGAACAATTTTTAAATTGCCCCGGCCCTCTTTAAATACGTCACATTTCCAGTTATTACCCATTCAAAGTTGGAATTCTTGTCTTCTCAAAACAGGAATTTCCTTAAAATTTATTAACTGAACCTGATCAACATTGAATGGACTCTAAAGATTAAATTGCTTTTTTTTTTAAATGTTTTTTTTTAAAAATGCGACATACGGGCTAAAATTTTCTAAAATTACTTTATAAAATGCGAAAAATGGCGACACACTTTCCGAACTCCCCCACCATCAACTCCGACCCCCCACCTGCTATTAGTGAAACCGTTATCGACGTCCCTCTAAACACGCAGCTTTTAACTCTTAAATCAGAGTTAAACTTCATGCCATTCTTCAATCAAACGAAATGGAAATTGATTGAATGTATAGATCTAGTTGTCATTTTATAACAATTTTTTAAAAAGTTTTAAATCTCATTTATACATAGTAAAAATATTAAAATGGGATCATAACCAAACTTTTTTATTTTTAGCGACCAAACTCTTACATATGTTAGCGACCAAACTCTTACATACGAGGAAAATGGCCCGTTGAGAAAGGATCCAACGGGCGCTAAGTTGATAGTGCTATTTTCTCTAAACAAAAACAACCCCCCCCCTCCAAAACATGTCTACCGTCCCATTCAGCGAAATATAATTATATACTTTTTCCACTGTCCGCCCCCTCCAAGAAATTCTACCCCGCCCCCGAAAATTTCAAGTACCCCCACCCCTCTCCGGGGAGGAAAAAGTCTGAAAGAAACACTGGTCGCATTTGTAGATCATACAAACTAAAGGAAGAACCTGGGCGGGGTCTCGCCCCTACCGGAAGAGATGCATGAAAAAAACTGTGCACGCTAAACACTTTTTAGATTAGAAAAAGTTCCTCCCTCCGGAGAGGAAAAAGTCTGAAAGAAACACTGGTGTCGCGCTTAGCCACTACCCGAAGAATTGCATGAAAGAAACTCTGCACGCAAACCACTTTTTAGATTAGACACATGTATTAGGCTGTAATTTTATTATAGAGTATCGATGACGACATTTCTTTTGAGTTGGGGGTGTGGGTAGGCTTAGACGTTCTTACGCGGTGTTTGGGCTTCGCCCCTACCCGAAGAATTGTATGAAAGAAACTCTTCACACAAACCACTTTTAAGATTAGGCAATATTGGCTTTTTAATTCAATGTTTACTCGAGAATCAATGACGTCATATTATTTTATGCACTTTCCCGGCTTGAGACTATTTTTTGCTATATACTCAATGTGACGTCATGTTTCGCTTCCGTTTCACTATGCATGTTTTTGATTCGCTTGTGTTTTCTCTATAGCGTTCTTGTCAGATAGATACACAGATAGATAGATAGATAGATAGACAGACAGCGAAACTATTTTAGTATTAATGATGGCGATCAAACTCTTACATATTTTAGCGACCAAACTCTTACATATGTTAGCACCAAAGCTTTTATTAAAGAAATCAAATTAGTTTTATTTTCTTATTTCCTGTGTACACAAACGTCACTCAGAAAGTTGATATGCGTAAAAATTGTTTCAATTTTTTTTTTTTTGTAAATAAAAATGTATTCTAAATTCTAAATGACGTTAGCGACGAGCAGCTGTTAACTAATGGCGGAATGATTGTGACCTACACAAAGATCAAATTGTCTGCGGTCTATAAAGCGGCAGTAGCTCTATGCCGCTGTTTCTATCTGCCTGTATCACTGTTCGGACTAAGGCGTTAAGGTTAATCTAGTGACAGGAACTTGCCGTGGGGTTGGTGTTAAGGCTAGGGTTAATTTTCAAGCGAGGTATATGGTAGGGATACTCCAAAGATTGAAAGTGTCCCCCGTAGATTTTATTTTGGTATTTTCTTCCAGAATCTATCCGTAAATCTCCCATCTTATATTATAAAATTAATCCCCGTAGAAACTAGTTGATATCTATCTAAGGGAAAGAAGGATGTAACTTGTAAATATTATATCATCCTTAATTACTTCCCTTTAATGTAGTCATGTTTCTTTACAACCCTGATCTAATATTTTCTTTAGATATTAAAAATAAAATACTTAAAAAAAACTTTTTAAAAAACCACGTTTTTCTTGTGGACTAAAAAGTAGAAAATAATTTTTCTTTTGTGCTTCCTCGAGCTGTGCAGGTTCTTGTGATGACTGACAAAAAACGTGGGTACGTTCACCATCAAATTTCCCGACCCATCTGCCCGACCCACGTTTTTTGTCAGTTATCACAAGAACCTGCACAGCTCGAGGAAGCACAAAAGAAAAATTTATTTTCTACTTTTTAGTCCACAAGAAAAACGTGTTTTTTTTTTAAAGTTTTTTTTAAGTATTTTATTTTCTCCTTTTTAGTCCGTTGCTACACGTGAAAAACGTGGTTTTTAAAAAGTTTTTTATATAGTTTATTTTCTACTTTATCTAATGACTTGATTAAGTATGACTTGACTAAGTGTTTATAAATACACGGACTAAAAATCTTGAGCGACCAATACGCTTTAAACAGAGAAAGGGCGTAATTTAATTAAGCCTACATGCCGTGACCAGGATTCGAACATGGGTTGTCGCGGCCACAACGCGAAGTACTACCCACTATACGATCACGGCCAGCGCGCTCACATCGATTGGGGCCGAAGTAACTGGGTCAATAGGCCTCCAGTCTTGTCGGTATGTTTAGAAATCATGTCCTCGATTTTATGGTCCTTGGGGCGTAATTTAATTAAGCTAATTTAGGTCTCTAATTGCTAGTTTTTATGATTGCATCTGAAATTGTTAGGCGAAAATAGCCTGCATTCCAAATTTCAGATCTCTAGAGCAATCAGAAGTGGGATAATTTTCGATGTCAATTTTAACAACAAACATCCAAACAAACAAACAAATAAACGCAAAGCTGAGTTAAGAAAAACGTGTTAAAAATTTGTCTGAAGGCTAAGGAATGTCTACCACACGGTACCTGACCCTGGCCATCATGGCGGCCATCTTGATTCCAGCCACCTGTCTGTTAGTCTCACACACCCGTGAGGACATCTTCAGACGGCCGGTACCAAACTTTGTCCGGACGGAAATCGGCGACAGAACGACCTTCACCCCAGAGGAGAAGCAGCGGATCCTCCAAATCGCCAACTCGTACAGGAGTATCGTGGAGCCGCCTGCCACTGGCATGCGCGAGTTGGCAAGTGTTGTAGTGTTCTTCTATAGCATCAGTCTTGTCTGTGGCAAGTGTTGTAGTGTTCTTCTATAGCATCAGTCGTGTCTGTGGCAAGTGTTGTAGTGTTCTTCTATAGCATCAGTCGTGTCTGTGGCAAGTGTTGTAGTGTTCTTCTATAGCATCAGTCGTGTCTGTGGCAAGTGTTGTAGTGTTCTTCTATAGCATCCGTCGTGGCTGTGGCAAGTGTTGTAGTGTTCTTCTATAGCATCAGTCGTGTCTGTGGCAAGTGTTGTAGTGTTCTTCAATAGCATCAGTCGTGGCTGTGGCAAGTGTTGTAGTGTTCTTCTATAGCATCAGTCGTGGCTGTGGCAAGTGTTGTAGTGTTCTTCTATAGCATCAGTTTATAAGTTTATAATTCCCATGTGTTGCAGCTGTGGTTTAAGTTTGTAATTCCCATGTTTTCAGCCGTGGTTTAAGTTTATAATTCCCATGTTTGTAGCTGTGGTTTAAGTTTATAATTCCCATGTTTTCAGCTGTGGTTTAAGTTTATAATTCCCATGTTTGCAGCTGTGGTTTAAGTTTATAATTCCCATGTTTGTAGCTGTGGTTTAAGTTTATAATTCCCATGTTTGTAGCTGTGGTTTAAGTTTATAATTCCCATGTTTGTAGCTGTGGTTTAAGTTTTTAATTCCCATGTTTTCAGCCGTGGTTTAAGTTTATAATTCCCATGTTTTCAGCCGTGGTTTAAGTTTATAATTCCCATGTTTGCAGATGTGGGACGAAGATCTGGAGGAGTTCGCCAAAAACTGGACCCAGAAATGTATTGGCACCCACAGTCACAGGAACATGACCAAAAAGTTTATGAAAGACAAACCTCACACCTGGAAGGTGTGGGACTACATGGGGGAGGCAATCTACTACAATTATGGTGGGTGGAGTCCCGGGGGTGGGGGAGGCACTCTTTTACAATCATGGTGGGTAGAGTCCCGGGGGTGGGGGAGGCACTCTACTACAATCATGGTGGGTAAAGTCCCGGGGATGGGGAGTCGCTCTACTACAATCATGGTGGGTAGAGTTCCGGGGATGGGGGAGGCACTCTACTACAATCATGGTGGGTAGAGTCCCAGTGGTGGGGGAGGCACTCTACTACAATCATGGTGGGTAAAGTCCCGGGGTGGATCCCGGGGGTGGGGGAGTCGCTCTACTACAATCATGGTGGGTAGAGTTCGGGATGGGGTAGGCGTTGTTCTACAATCATATTGAGCGGAACCCCTGTGGTGGGGAGGGGAACTGAGGAAGCGTTGGTTGCTAGATCAACAACTATGTTTAGAACTGTATTAGGTGTATTGTGTGCAGGCCAATGGGTAAAACATTAGGGGGAAAAATTACATATGTTTTAAATGTAGGTTCTACATATAGCATCGAGGAAGCCTTTTGGATGTTTTGGAATGAAGGCAAAGATTACGACATCAAACAGCCAAAATGTACACATATATATACCTGTGGTCACTATCAAGTGGTGAGTAGCTTATAACTGTTGTAGTGGTCAGCTCTACACATTTTGTTTGTATATGTAAACATCGTGCATGGAGTAAGTTATACAAAATGTTTCCAGTTTTTACTTTCTCGTATACAGAGTATAGAGAAAATATTATTTAATCGTGAACAAAAATCACATGAAATTTTGTCAGTTTTCACCGTTTTACACCTCAGTCCTTCATCACATCCGGAGTATGGAGGACTAATTTTAATCGGGCAATAATTATTAATCCAAGTTTACCAAAAATGTTACGTTTTATGCGTAATCGAGTCTGAAAAACTGGGCTTTGCAATTCTGTCCGTGTGTGTGTGTATGTGCGTCTGTGAACACGATAACTTGAGTACCGTTACATCTAGGTTGATGATATTTCATATATAGTACTAGCCGTCCCGGTCAGGCCCTGCTCTGGCTTCTGTGAAAACCTTTCTGTTAAAGACCATTACCTGTGTGTTTACTAATCATCATAAACCCGGCATTGCCCACCCAAACCACAACCAACCAAAACCTAAACAACAAAACGCTAACATAACGCTAACACAATTACAAATACAAACGAAAACAAAAACCTAACAACAAACCCAACCACAACCACAAACACCAATACGAAGACAAAGAGAAAAAAAACGAAAAAGCAAACGAAAACAAACCAAATCCAAACGCAAAACCAACCACAAACACAAACCCAAAGAAAGAAATCACAAACAAAAAAGCAAACGAAAACAAACCAAATCCAAACGCAAAACCAACCACAAACACAAATACAAACACAAACTCAAAGAAAAAAAAACACAAACGAAAAAAGAAAGAACAAAAACGAACCAAATCAAAACGTAACCACTAACGCAAACCCAACCTAAACACAATGAAAATACAAACGCGAACATAAACGCAAAGTGCTCACAGTCTAGAATTTTTGTTATTTTTTTAAAAATGTGTTTAATGAACATGCCGACAATTATTACTATCAGTTTGAAAAATGAAAATTATTTCCCAACACTTTCAATAGTAATTTTTTAACTCATAAATTTAGACAAATGCGCACGGTAATAGTCTAACACTTTAATCCATGGAAGTATGTCAACGACAAACATATTTATTTTTACATACAGAATTGAGCTTTATATATTAGATTATGTCAAAATTCAGCAATTTCCGTTGACCGGAAGTAGTAATTTACGCTATTTCCGATTTCTCAAAAAATATATGTGAATTTACAAAGTACTAATAATATTCCGCACTATTATACACATATTGTTCGGCGTTTAGTTGGTGCGCAATTCTTTTTTCTATGAGATTCTATTCTATTTTTTTAAAAGTTTAAGTACTTAACAAACCGGGAATGATCTCCCCTAAACTTTCTCGAATATATGTATATATATATATATATATATATATATATATATATATATATATATATATATATATATATATATATATATATATATCTTCTGGAAGACGTTAGAAAACAAGCTGCAAGCGCGCCTTACAGTCCCCTCTCTTCCTCTCTATTGCTACCACCCCCACCCCCTCACATGGTCTGGTGAGCTGGAGTTCACGCTAAATGTTTACAAAACAATCGTAGAGCCGGGTTTGTTGACGGCTATTAGGGGCAGATAATTTAGTTTGAAACGATTTTAAACTTAGAGGAGGTAACTAAGAGGAGGCTGTTTCACGGGGGGGGGGGGGGAGGAGGGTATGGGTTGCGGGAAAAGAGGGTGGGGTTAGTATCGTTCTTAACAACCTACCGATAGTGTTTTAAAGCAAATATTTTCAGTGGCGTCATTGGTACTGTCGAATTCACAAATTATGAATTACTGAAAAGTAGAAAATAAAACAACTAAATAGCGGCGTATGATATGCCGCGGGTCGGCTCGTTCTTATATAAAACAACAGGGATGGCAACTCGGGATAAAAACATGACTTTTAATCCACTTTAAATACTTAAACTTTTTAAAATAGAATAAAATCTCGTAGAAAAAAAGAATCGCACACCAAGTGAACGTCATATAAAAAGTGCAAAATAGTGCGGAATATTATTAGTACTTTATAAATTCACATGCGTTTTTTGAGAAATCGGAAATAGAGAAAATTATTACTTCCGGTCAAACGGGAATTACTCAAAATTTGATAGAAGGTATAGAATTAGATCTTTTACTTACATGTGAAATTTCATTTATGTATCTGAAATAGTACTCAAGTTATAGGCTTTTGAAAATTTGAAAGTAGAAAAAGTTCCACTTCCGGTTATCAAATGTTGATACGGATCTACGATTTTGATATAATACTTATATATGAAATTTCATCAACCTAGCTGTAACGGTACTCAAGTTATCGTGTTTACACACACACACACACAGACATACGGACAGAATTGGATAACCTAGTTTTTCCGACTCCATTACGCATAAAACGCCAAAATTTTTATATATCTGGATATATAATTTTTGTCCGATTGAAATAAATCCTCTACATCCCAGATGTGATGATGGACTAAGGAGTAAAAAGGTGAAAACTGTCCAAATTTAATGTGATTTTTGTGCACGATTACAAGACTTTCTCTATACTTCGTATATACGAGAAAGTAAAAATAGATTTAAAAATCATGTCTACATCCCGAGTTGCCATCCCCCCAGGGGAGTAGCGAGGGGGGTGCGGGGGGTGCGGACAGCACCGGGTGACACCATTTAGGGGGGTGACACCAAGGCAAAAAATAGAAAAATATATCGAGAAAAACTTGAGGGAGGGGGGGGGGTGCAAATCGAAAGTTTGAGGGGGGTGCAAATTGAAAACTTGAAAGTTTGTCCCCGGGAAGGGTCGCTACGCCTCTGGGGGGTGACACCATTAAGTGCCGCACCGGGTGACACCCGACCTCGCTACGCCACTGCATCCCCCGTAGTGTTTTTTAAGAATATTCGAGAAAGTTTAGGGGATATCACTCCCAGTTTATTTATAATGTATTGTGTACAGAGTAAGGTACATAGGGCCTACTTCAGTGATTGACCAGGTTAGGTGTAAGGTGTAATGACCTGAATGTGTGTTGGAAAAATATTTAAGTTGCGATGCTAATATGATAGTTCATGCAATTATGCTTGAATTTAATAAAACATTGTGACCGATGTTTACTGATATAGATTATCAATCATTGTAGATTATTACTGCAATAGATCACTCAATCATGATAACTATTACCGAGAGTGACCTTGCAATCATGACTGTTATTGCTAAGATAGTTATCTCAATCATTGTTGATATTGCCGCGATTGACCATACAATCATGATTGACAGATAACGACAGCCAAGACCAGCAGGGTGGGATGTGCCCTCAACAAATGCCAACACTTCAGCAAAAGCACGTACCCAACCCCCGCCATCTTTTTAGCCTGCTCGTTTGATGCCAGGCAAGTCGATAGTTCGGCTCTAAGAATTGAAACAATAATTTCAATGAAACATTCTAGCAATGAGATGACTTGTCGTGTGGTGATGTCGTGTGTTGATGTCGTGAGATGATGTCGTATGGTGATGTCGTGTGGTGATGTCATGTGGTGATGTGGTATTCGTGTGGAGATGTCGTGTGGTGATGTCGTGTGGTGATGGCGTGTGGTGATGTCGTGTGGCGATGTCGTGTGGTGATGTCGTGTGGTGATGTCGTGTGGTGATGTCGTGTGGTGATGTCGTGTGGTGATGTCGTGTGATGATGTCGTGTGGTGATGTCGTGTGGTGATGTCGTGTGGAGATGTGGTATTCGTGTGGTGATGTCGTGTGGTGATGTCGTGTGGTGATGTGTGGTGATGTCGTGTGGAGATGTCGTGTGGTGATGTCGTGTGGTGATGTCGTGTGGTGATGTGTGGTGATGTCGTGTGGAGATGTCGTGTGGTGATGTCGTGTGATAATGTCGTGTGGTGATGTCGTGTGGTGATGTCGTGTGGCGATGTCGTGTGGTGATGTCGTGTGGTGATGTCATGTGGTGATGTCATGTGGTGATGTCATGTGGAGATGTGGTATTCGTGTGGTGATGTCGTGTGGTGATGTCGTGTGGTGATGTGTGGTGATGTCGTGTGGTGATGTCGTGTGGTGATGTGTGGTGATGTCGTGTGGTGATGTCGTGTGGTGATGTCGTGTGGTGATGTCGTGTGGTGATGTCGTGTGGTGATGTCGTGTGGAGATGTCGTGTGGTGATGTCGTGTGGTGATGTCGTGTGATGATGTCGTGTGGTGATGTCGTGTGATGATGTCGTGTGGTGATGTCGTGTGGTAATGTCATGGATTTTGCATAGGGTCGATGCTTTTATTGTACTTAAGAAGTTCTGCAGACGTGTATCGCCTGATACTGGACAAGATAGTTTTGTCAGCTTGAAATAGTCTTTGGATCAACGCGTATGTACTAGAGAGCTAACACGTCATTGTCCCCTCCACAGATACTTTGAGGATGCGCGGCCGTACGAGGTGGGAAGCAGATGCTCGGCGTGTAGAGGTTATGGGTACAGCTTCCAGTACTGCAGGCACGGTCTCTGCAGTGAGTACAATTAGCACTTCCGGTTTGTTGCACGAGATTTGTGCCAAGTACAGTCTTTGTTTTATTTTTGTAGCGAAACGTGGGTCAGTAGAGTATGTGGTTGTGTGGTAGTATGTGGTAGTGTGTGGTTGTGTGGTAGTGTGTGGTAGTATGTGATTGTGTGGTAGTGTGTGGTAGTGTGTGGTAGTATGTGGTAGCATGTGGTATGTGGTAGTGTGTGGTAGTGTGTGGTAGTGTGTGGTAATGTGTGGTAAAATGTGGTAGTGTGTGGTGGTGTGTGGTTGTGTGTAGCAGTGTGTGGTGGAATGTGGTAGTGTGTGGTGGTGTGTGGTTGTGTGTAGCAGTGTGTGGTAGAATGTGGTAGTGTGTGGTAGTGTGTGGTAGTGTGTGATAAAATGTGGTAGTGTGTGGTGGTGTGTGGTTGTGTGTGGTAGTGTGTGGTAGTGTGTGGTAGTGTGTGTAATTTGTATAGCTGTACCTGAACAGTCACTGGGTATATAGTAGCAAGGTCACTGTAGAACATCTAATCATCGTTGGATATAGTTATCATTAGATGCCCCATCGCCACTCTTGTAAATATAATCTGTAATAAGTAGAAGCTAAAATAGAAGTTATATGTGTTGAAATTGGCTTTTCACTAAAATGTGTTTGTGTCTCATCTTTTAGTCTCGCCTAATATGAGGAAATACAACACTGGATACGACGGGAGCACAGACAGCGTGGGCGTCACTGGGCTTCAGTAGATGGTCACATTATGTGGGCGTCACTGGGCTTCAGTAGATGGTCACACAATGTGGGCGTCACTAGGCTTCAGTAGATGGTCACACAATGTGGGCGTCACTGGGCTTCAGTAGATGGTCACACTATATGGGCGTCACTGGGCTTCAGTAGATGGTCACATTATGTGGGCGTCACTTGGCTGCAGAAGATGGTCAACAACACAAGCCGCCAGCTATTGAAAGAATGACATCATTTGTATCAAATTCTCTTAAATTTTCTCTAACTATATTTATGTGTTCACTATTCGTAATTTATTTGCTTTACATACACGATGTTCATATAATCATTTCGTGGCAATTTAAAAAAATTCTTTCACTTTCTGAAAACTGTGTTCTTGTTACAATATCATTTACATTGTAGACATCACGTCTTGTCCAGTTTGTCTAAGGGTGTCAGCGGCATTTTGTGGGAGATGAGATGGACGGGGGGAGGGGGGGACGATGGGAGTGCACATACTTCTGTGTTGATACAACTGTTGTACTCCTTGAAAAAGATAGACTCAGTGCCATAGGCCGAAATCTGAAAAACCGACATGAATAAAAAGCCGAAACGGATAAAAATATCATATAAAATGTTTTAATAACAAGCTTTTATGTAATAATGCACTAAAAAGTAGAAAATAAATTACAGACTACTATTTAAATAACTATAAAGACAAGCGTGGGTCACTTTAGTATCTATTGGATACCTTTACTAATATTTAGGAAGAGACACACGCTTTTCTTTAAATAGTAGTCTATAATTTATTTTCTCCTGTTTAGAGCACTATAACACAAAAGCTTGTTATTAAAAAGTTTTTTTATGAATTGGTTTTTACTTTCTCGTATATACGTAGTATAGAGAAAGTATTGTAATCGTGCAAAAAAAAAAATCGAGATTTTTACAAATCTCGACGTTTTACACCTCACTGATACGGAAAAACATAATTTTGCAATCTTGTCCGTATGTCTGTGTGTGTGTGTGTCTGTGTGTGTGTCTGTCCGTGTGTAAACACGATAACTTGAGTACCGTTACAGCTAGGTTGATGAAATTTCATATATAAGTATTTTATCAAAATCGTAGATCCGTATCAACTTTTGAGCGATTTCCGATAACCGGAAGTGGTACTTTTCCTACTTTGAATTTTTCAAAAGCCTATAACTTGAGTACTATTTCAGATAGATAAATGAAATTTCACATGTAAGTAAAAGATCTAATTCTCTACCTTCTGTTAAAGTTTGAGTAATTTCCGTTGACTGAAAGTAGTAATTTACGCTACTTCCGATTTCTCAAAAAACTAATGTAAATTTTTTAAAGTACTAATAATATTGCGCACTATTATACGCGTTTTTATTCGGCGTTTGCTTGGTGCGCAATGTTTTTTTTATGAGATTCTATTCTATTTTTAAAAGTTTAAGTATTTAAAATGGATTAAAAATCATAACTATATCCCCAGTTACCATCCCCTGTTGTTTTATATAAGAATATTCGAGAAAGTTTAGGGGAGATCACTACCGGTTTATTTTTTTTAGTACTTTACATGTTTTTATTTACACTAGAGTTACATGACTAAAACAATTCATAAATAAACCGGTAGTGATCTCCCCTAAACTTTCTCGAATATTCTTATATAAAACAACAGGGGATGGTAACTGGGGATATAGTTATGATTTTTAATCCATTTTAAATACTGAAACTTTTAAAAATAGAATAGAATCTCAGTAAAAAACAATTGCGCACCAAGCGAACGCCTAATAAAGGTGTGTATAATAGTGCGCAATAGTATAAGTATTTAATAAATTTACATTAGTTTTTTGAGAAATCGGAAGTAGCGTAAATTACTACTTCCGGTCAACGGAAATTACTCAAAATTTAACAGAAGGTAGAGAATTAGATCTTTTACTTACATGTGAAATTTCATTTATCTATCTGAAATAGTACTCAAGTTATAGGCTTTTGAAAAATTCAAAGTAGAAAAAGTACCACTTCCGGTTGTCGGAAATCTCTCAAAAGTTGATACGGATCTACGATTTTGATAAAATACTTATATATGAAATTTCATCAACCTAGCTGTAACGGTACTCAAGTTATCGTGTTTACACACGGACAGACACACACACAGACAGACACACACACACAGACATACGGACAAGATTGCAAAATTATGTTTTTCCGTATCAGTGAGGTGTAAAACGTCGAGATTTGTAAAAATCTCGATTTTTTTTTTGCACGATTACAATACTTTCTCTATACTACGTATATACGAGAAAGTAAAAAAACGTTTTAATAACAAGCTTTTATGTACTAATGCACTAAAAAGTACGTGATGACGCGTGTGGTGTGGTTTTATAGACATGCCTACTAATTCGGTCCAAATTTTAGTTAATTCATAAAAAATTTATTAGGCATCCAATTAAGTCAAATTTAATTTCATATTGCATTGTCTTCATGTCTTGACCCACGTGCCAAGTGTGAACCGTATCGGTCAAGTAGAAGTGTCCGAATTTTCACTCCGGCGTTTCGATCAAGACAGACTTACGACAGACTGACGACAGAGGAAGTGAGTTAAATAAAAGCTTGTAAAAACCATTGCGCACCCATTGAACGGCGCCCTATAAAAGCTTGTAAAATTCATATAAAACTGTTTAGTAACAAGCTTTTATGTAATAATGCACTAAAAAGTAGAAAATACATTATATACTACTATTTAAATTACTATAAAGAAAAACGTGGGTCTCTTCCTAAATATTAGTAAAGGTTTCCAATATATACTTAAGTAATTAACAAACTTTTATTTAACTCACTTCCTCTGTCGACAGTCGTCAGTCTGTCTGTCTAGATCGAAACGCCCGAGCAAAATTACGGGCACTTCTAACTGACAGATACGGTTCGTTGTGGGTACTTGGGTCAAGACGAGAATAAAATGCAATATGACAATAAATTTGACTTAATGGTTGCCTGATACATTTTTTATGAATTAATTAAAATTGTGTCCAAATTAGTAGGCTGCCTCATCGACTATTCCGTACTATTATACGCGCGCTATCACGTTCATTAAGTGCTCAATGGTTTTTAGTCATGCAACTCTAGTGTAAATAAAATATTTTAAGTACTGAAAAACAAATTTTAAAACAAACGTTTATTAATTATAAGTGATGTCATGCATCATTAGTCATAAAAGATGTTAAACATCATTAGCCATGAGTGATGTTATCACTTGTCATAAGTGATGTTATACATCACCGATCGACATCCATTTCATTGATCATTAGCTATTTTGCCATACGATATAATCTATTGCACGAATTGATACTATGCAACATTATATGTATTACTAGCTGCATCCCGTGCTCCGCCACGGTAAATCTTTTTTAAATGTACCAACTTGGGAACAGAACAAAACTAAACACAACACAAACGAACGCAAAAAAAAAACGAAAAAAACAAACACAACACTCATAACATAAACACAATTTAAATGCAATCATAAAGACATATTGCTCACAGTCTAGCCCGTAGCGCCAAATCGCGCCCTTTCCGGTGATTTGCACCCCCCTCAAACTTTCGATTTGCACCCCTTCCCCCCCCCCTAAAACTTTCGATTTCCACCACCCCCCCTCGCAAATTTTTTCCAACCCACTTTGGCGCCCCCTAAGGTCGGCACCCGGGGACATATGCCCCCCAGTAGCGTAGCGAGGGGGGGGGGGGTTCGGGGGGGACGACATATGTCCCCGGGCGCCGACCTTAGGGGGGGGCGCCAAATTGAAAGTTTGAGGGGGGGGGGGGTGCAAATGAAAAGTTCGAAGGGGGGGTGCAAATCGAAAGTTTGAGGGGGGGGGGGTGCAAATGAAAAGTTCGAGGGGGGGGGGGCAAATCGAAAATTTGCTCCCAAGGGGGCGCCAAATTGAAAGTATGTCCCCGGGCGCCGGGAAGGGTCGCTACGCCTCTGATGCCCCCCCCCCCCTCGCTACGCCTCTCCTATAAAACCCGAAAGATAGAATAATAATTAGAAAACAGTATAAATAATAGGCAGTATTTAAAATATCCGTGTTTTACCTACAATATTTCACTTTATCCATTCACGCATTTTTTTCCAGTACTTTAAAATTTACAAAAGAGTTTCATAACTAAAACCATTGCGCACCTAATGAACGTGATGACGCGTCTATAATATTGCTGAATAGTTAATTAAAAATTATAAGTAATAAACAGTAGGGCCTACATTCAGTGAATAAAATAAATAAAAGATTGCCTGTTATCAATCCATGCTAATTATAATTTTCTAACAATAATTTCCTCTTACACATCCGAATAATTTGCATTCACATTTTGCTAATTATATTATTGCAACACTAATTCCTTCTATGACGACCGTATATTTGCATTCACATTTTTTATTAGCGTGAGTTTAATGTATTTTTAAATTACCTCCTTTGTCAAAATTAGAAAAGAGTTAAATTAATTTGATTTTTCTACCGTACTGTTATTATGTTATTAAAATGTATCCACTTTTTCTAGGAATATTAACGAAAACTATATTTGACATTGATCCTTTTAATATGTTTTAGCAATGTGCGTGTATTTAATATTCTCTTTACGTTATGCAAAATTGTACAAACAGTGGAAATTATAAAATAGCTCTATGCCGCTATATAAACAAACCCTACTCTATACCTATAATATATAAAACGCCATGTGCGCTCTTCTCTCTCTCTCTCTCTCTGTCTGTCCGCAAAATATTTTCGCCGGACATCACGTCAGAAACGGCAGCGATATATGGAGAACTTTATACGGACTTTTGTTGAAAATAATATGTTAGATGTTTTAAATGTATAACCACAATTTTATTTAAAGAAGAAAAATAAAAATTAAAGGCGTATTCGAATGTAGAGAAACAGTATTATTTATGCAACCGGAAAAGCATTAATAAATGTGAAAAAGAACGCATAAAACTGTGACGTCACTATTGCTTATACATTAACCAATGACGTCATCTGCTGTGTTTAGAATGAACTATTTCATTCAAATTTGATTTAGATCTACGTACACTATGAAATGTATACAATACAATTTTTCCGGCCTAAACTCATAAAATTTTATGTATTTGGATTCTAGATATAGAGATTCTAGATCTAGACTAAATCTAAATCTACGCAATAACTAGATCTAGACGTAGACGCTAAGATCTAGATTTAGACTCTAACTTCTCTAAAATCAATTCCAAAAATAAATTTCTATATTAGGACTAAACTAATTCAAGGCTTATTTATTTTATACAAAATCTTTGTTTGGAACTGGCTAATTTGGGATAAAAAAATTAATTTGAAAGAATAGGCA